CGAAGGAGGGGAACTTCCCCTTGGACCACTCATACCCGTACCCGTTCAACATATACACACCGCATCACCTTTGGAACCTTCCCTCTGCCCTAGCAAAGGGGGGCAGTATCACCCACGATAGGAAATTAGACCTTCTAGCCTGGCATTCGACGAGATTGTCTCGAGAATAGCGTCTGGCAAGAGCCCCGGTGTTACTGGTGCAGCAAGACAATCCAGCCGGGCCTCCCGTGTTGTCCCAGGTAGTCAAGTGGTGGAAGATAGATAGGCAGCGGACTGGACGGTTACCCAGAGTTCCAGAGAGCCGAAAGCAGCCTTTGTTGGGAAGAGAAAAAAAAATCAGGTCCCTTGATATTGCAGGGGGGGTTGTTTGGTTCCCAAGCCGATCACCCAACCTTTCTACACTACGCCATATAATACCCTCCACCCCCTTGTTTGTGCGTGCCTCCGTCCCTGGCACGCTCCCGATCTCGAAGAATATGTCCGTACGACCGCCGGTAGCAGAGACCATATTTGACCTGATCGTCTTCGTCGTCTCCCTGGTCAATATCTCCAACAACAGCAGGCAGCTGGATCTCATTGGCGCGCCTAACTACGTCGAACCGCTCTACCTGATCTACCGCCTGTTGTCGGCATGCTTCAAGCCTGGCGGAGCAGCAGCGGTACTGCTCGTGTAGCCACCACCACCGCCGATAGCACTACCACTACTACCACATCCCCATCTCCAGTCACTTCCGGCTCCGAGCCTCCGGCCCCTCCACCCCGGAGCATCTCGGCCCCAGAACCACAACAACCTCGACGAGATGTATCGTATTTCTCCAGACCAACACTGGCTCCTCCGGCTCACAGCTACTGCGGTTATGAATCCCCGTCCGAACTTGAAGATGGCTATATAACGCCGGACCCAACCCACCACCGGCCCGGAGCCCCCTCCGAACCTTTCTGGGCGACCTCGTCGGCATCCCGCCGTCAAAAAGGTGGTGGCAACAACACCCCCATGAAGGCGAGCATGGATGACGTACTCACCAAAGGGCGTAACTTGTCGAAGCGCAAGGTGAGCCTCAGGGATCGCATCACTTGTTATCAGTGGACATGGTTCACCATGACTATGGCCACCGGGGGCGTTGCCAATGTTCTTCATTCCAGTAGGTTCATCCCATTCTCTTGACTTCACCTTCCACGTGGAAAAGAGTTGCAATGTTCTGACTCGGACCGAACATCACAGTACCATACAAGAGTCAATGGTTGACCGGCGTTGGCCTCTTTTTCTTCTTTCTTAATCTCGTTCTTTTTACGGTAAACTGTATCTGTATCACACTTCGGTTTGTCTGGAGCACAGGCAGCTTCCTGCATTCGCTTAATGACCAAACCGAGTCACTCTTCGTGTCTTCAATTGTGAGTCTACTTTACCTCCTCTCTGCAAGATCCCTCAGCTCCTTCATAGTACTCAGGACTAACGCTTCTGATTAAGATTGTCTCGTACGTACACCATCTCGGTCCTTTCCACTCACTCCTCTATCTGCCCGTTGTCATCCATCTAACCAACCCCCTTCCCTTACAGTGCCGGAACGATCTTCATCACCATCTGCCAATATGGCATCCCCAACACGGGTCCTTGGCTGCTCAAAGCTATGGAAATAATATTCTGGATCTACGTCGGTCTGAGTTTCAGCATCAGTGCCTTTCTTTATCTTCTTCTCTGGTCCACCACCGTCTTCCCCATCCACACCATGACGCCCGTCTGGGTATTTCCCGCGTACCCGCTCCTCCTGACGGCCCCCTACGGCGCCAACCTGATTGCTGCCGCCGTTAAATCCGGCCACTTGACTCGGGCGGGCCAGTCTACCATCAATCCAATCTCCATTGCCCTCGCCTCCGTCGCCGTCCAGGGTACCGGCTTTCTGATCTCCTTCATGATCTGCGCCGCCTTTCTTTACCGCCTGATGACCCAGAAGCTACCGCGTGACTACCAACGACCCGGTGTTTTTATTTCTATCGGACCCGGCGCCTTCACCGCCGCGGGACTGGTGCAGCTCGCCAACTCCGCCCCCGATTTTTTACCTACCGAGTTTCTGGGTACGCAGGGCGCTGTGGCCATTTCCATCCTGCGCATGCTGGCTTACATGGCGGGGATCTGGCTCTGGGGCTTGAGTTGTTGGTTCTTCTTGGTGAGCGTCGGTTCGCTGTGGAAGTATTTGAGACCGGAGAGAAAAAGCAAGCTGCAGTTCCAAATGACCTGGTTCTCGTTTGTGTTTCCAAACACGGCGCTGGTGACGGCGACGGAGCAGTTGGGAAAGGCATTTGAGAGCGATGGGTTGAAGATCTTGGGATGTGTCTTGACGGGGTGTATCATAGTGGTGTGGATTGTGGTGTTTTGGCGGATGCTGGAATGTATTTGGAGGAGGGAGCTGTGAGTTTCTTTTTCTTTTTCTCTTTTTTCGTCCTTTTTTGTTTGGCATATTCTCTCTCCTCCCAATACATTCCAGCATCCGCCAAAACACCACAATCCACACCACTA